ACCAAACTGCCATATCTGCTATCTCAAGTGGGTCTCCATGGGGTTACCTGGAACCAAACCCCAAAATCTGCAGTCTCAAGTGGGTCCAGAGCTCTACAACCTCCTGAAGGGAGTGGGGACACCAGGGGGACACCACGGAGAGACCATGGGACATGGAGGACCCCAATGGGATATGGAGGACCTCAAAAGGACATGGAGGACCCCAGCGATTCATGGAGGACCCCCATGGGACATGGAGGAGCTGGAGTCTGAAGAAGAGGAGGCTCAGGGAAGGCCTCATTGCACTCCTCCCTTACTACCTCTCATTCCCTTCGGGTCTTTGTCAGTGCAATTAATCCCAGCAAAAGCACGACTCCCTCCCGCGGGGAACACAGACGAGGCGGCCGTCACAGCATCACAGAACGGCCAGGGTTGGAAGGGAGCTCAAGGATGACGAATCTCCAACCCCCTGCTGCACGCAGGGCCGCCAACCTCCATGTTGAATGCTAAACCAGGCTGCCCAGGGACCCATAGAGACACGTTGGGACCCATAGAGACACATTGGGACCCATAGAGACACAGTGAGACACATTGGGACCCATAGAGACACATTGAGACCCATTGGGACCCATAGAGACACATTGGGACCCATTAGGACCCATAGAGACACATTGAGGCCCATTGGGACCCATAGAGACACATTGAGACACATTGGGACCCATAGCGACATGTTAGGACCCATAGAGGCACATTGAGACCCATTGGGACCCATAGAGATACATTGGGACCCATTGGGACCCATAGAGACACATTGAGACCCATTGGGACCCATAGAGATACATTGGGACCCATTGGGACCCATAGAGACACATTGGGACACGTTGGGACCCATAGAGACACATTGGGACCCACTGAGACCCCTTGGGACCCATAGAGACACATTGGGACCCATATTGACACGTTGGGACCAATAGAGACACACTGAGACCCATTGGGAGCCATAGAGACACCTTGAGACCCATAGAGACACATTGAGACCCCTTGGGACCCATAGAGACACATTGGGACCCATAGAGACCCATAGAGGCCCATTGGGACCCATAGAGACACCTTGAGAGCCATAGAGACACACTGAGACCCATTGGGACCCATAGAGACACATTGAGACCCATTGGGACCCATAGAGACACATTGGGACCCATAGGGACCCATAGAGATACATTGAGACCCATTGGGACCCATAGAGACCCATAGAGACACATTGAGATGCACTGGGACCCATAGAGACCCATTGGGACCCATAGAGACACAATGAGACCCATTGGGAGCCATAGAGACATGTTGGGACCCATAGAGACACATTGGGACCCATATTGACACATTGGGACCCATAGAGCCACACTGAGACCCATTGGGAGCCATAGAGACACCTTGAGACCCATAGAGACCCATAGAGACCCATAGAGACCCATTGGGACCCCTTGGGACCCATAGAGACCCATAGAGACAAGAGGCTGATGGCTGCTGTGCCCTTTTCTTGCCGAGTTCACTGCAGCACTGAGCAGCACAAAGCTCAGCTCCGGATGGCAGCACAACCCGTCCCGCATTTCACACACAGCTGCTCCCCAATGAACGCTTCCTCACAAAGCTGCCGCAGGTTTCAATGCTCCAAACCATGCGGGTGCGGCGTGCCGAGCTACCAAACACCTCGGAAAGTTGCTCCCCTCCTTTCCCATCTCCTCTTCCCTCCTCTCCCCTCTCCCCTCTTCCCCCCTCCCCTCCTCTCCCCTCTTCCGTCCCTCCTCCCTCCTCTTTCCCCCCTCTCCTCTCCTCCCCCCTCCTCCC